AGTAAACAAACATAAGAAAATTTTATTCTCCATCAAAGACTTCCAGGGCACTAGGGTTGGAATAGAAATGAGACCAAAAAAAAATTTGACTAAAAATAGCCATTTTTTTTTTTGAGTCAGAGTCTCACTCTGTTGTCCAGGTTGGAGTATGTTGGTGCAATCCTAGCTTGCCACAACCTCTACCTCTTGGGCTCAAGCAATCCTCCAGTAGCCTCTCAAGTAGCAGGGACTGCAGGTATGCACCACCACACCTGGATAATTTTTTTTTTTCTGTAGAAATGACATCTCTCTATGTTGCCCAGGCTGATCTCGAACTCCTGGGCTCAAGCAATCCTCCTGCCTTGGCCTCCCAAAGGGCTAGGATTACAGGCATGAGCCACTGTGTCCAGCCAAAATTAGTCATTTTTTATTTATTTATTTTTAATTTCTTCTGTGTTTATTTTATAAACATCTGTGATAGGGATCTGAATTGGTCTCCAGTGATTTTTAAAATTATTTTATTTAATTATTCATTTAGAAAGTAGGATTTATTGAGAGAACAGAAAAGCTCCCACAGTGGGAGGGGACCCCAGGGGGTTGCCCTTTATTTATTTATTTTTGAGTTGGAGTCTCACTCTTGTCACCCAGGCTGGAGTACAGTGGCATGCTCACAGCCAACACAGCCTTGACCTGCTGGGCTTAGGTGACCCTTCCACCTCAGCCTTCCAAGTAGCTGGAACTACAGACACATGCCACCATGCCTGGCTAGTTTGTTTGTTATTTGATGTAGAGACAAGGGCTCATCAAGTTGCCCAGGCTGGTGTCAAACCTGTGGGCTCAGGCAATCCACTCATCTCAGCCTCCCAAAGTGCTGGGATTACAGACTGAGCCACCATGCCTGGCCCTTTTTTCTAAATTTAAAGATGTGGGGTACAATTCAGGATTAAGTAAACAAGTGCTCATCATACAGGTAAAATTTGGGCCTCCCTTTGTTCCCCACTTTGCTCGGTTTGAGATCAGGTACTTTTATTGATGTTGTGTCCCCCAATTAGTCATTTTAAAGCAGCATGCTTTCTCTTTGAAAAATTTTAAAAATTCATTTTGCTAATTTAAAATACATTTAAAATACAAAGCAGCTAATTTTATTATTTCCAAACTATTTTACACAGTGCTATATATTAGAAAGCACTAGATGTTAGAGACCATATTCCCTGCATCAGTTACTAACTTTTTTTTTTTTTTTTTTGAGTTGGAGCCCCACTCTGTCACCCAGACTGGAGTGCAGTGGCCACTCCCGGCTACCGCAGCCTCGACCTGCTGGGCTCCGGTGATCCTTCCACCTCAGCCTTCCAAGTAGCTGGAACTACAGGCGCGTGCTACCACGCCCAGTGAAATTAAAAAAATTTTTTTTTTATTTTCTAGATGAGGGCTCACCAAGTTGCCCAGGTGGGTCTCGAACCCACGGGCTCAAGCAATCCACTCACCTCAGCCTCCCAAAGTGCTGGGATTACAGGCTGAGCCACCGAGCCCGGTGCAGTTACTAATTTTCAATGGCTTAGACTATGTGCTGTTTTTTGTGCTCTAGTGTCAGTAACCCAAGAAGGAGGAGACCCCAAAACCCCAGAATTTATTTATAAAAAATTGTGTATTTATTCTAACACATTTAAACTTCAGTCACCTTCAAAGTATTGAAGCAATACACCTATCAAGACACTTTTTCCACTGCTCAAAATAGTTTTTTGAGCTCGTCAATTTGGATGGTTTTTAGTGCTTCTGCCATTTTTTGTGTCACCTCTTCCACAAGTCCACCTCTGAGGACTTTTTTGATCTGGGGAAACAATAAAAAAGTCACTAGGGTTAGACCAGGTAAATAGGAAGGGTGGGGCCCAGGGCCATGCCGATTGATTCCTAGAATGCTTACCTAGCAGGGGAAGCCTATACTACAGGGGGCCTGCCGTCCAAAAAATAATTAAACAAAACGTCCTTCTGTCTGTTATTAACCTTGAGAGGAACTAAATGAGACTGTTGATGTACCCATGCTGGGTACGCTCGGTTATTTGGACAGTTTGGGCTTCTAAATTTAAAACCTCAAGAGAAGTAACCTTGGTACCCCTATAATAGAAGGAAAATGCCAGCTGAGTCTAGGGATAGAACCTAGACCAGGTGCTTAGGGCTTGCTAGAGGTTTAAATGTCAAAATATTTAAACATTAAAAAAGCCTGTCAGGTAAGGAACTTCAAAACCTGTCAAAACTCCACCACTAATGGCTCTGTAATAAAACATGTCCCTGAGCACAAAGTGAAGGCAAGAAAGAGCTAAAGGTTTTAAACTGCTGGGAAGGATATTTCTACTGGGACACAAGTAACCGTTATAAACAGCATCGACCACACAGTATACAACTGGTCAGATAGAACTTGGCCTTTGTCCTGTTTCTGTCCACCCCCTAAATCCACACATTGAAACCCAAATCCCCAAGATGATGGTATCAGGAGGTGTGTGGGGGCTTTGGGAAGTAACTAAGTCACGGAAGTGGAGTCCTCACGAATGGGATTAATGTCCTTGTACAAGGGACCCTGGAGCCCTCCTTCCACCTCATGAGAATACAGAAGTAGTCAGCTGTCTGCAGCCCAGGAGGGAGCTCGCACCAGAACCTGACCATGCTAGTCCTCTGATCTCAGATTTCCAGCCTCCAGACCCAAGAGAAATACATTTCTGTTGTTTATAAGCCATTCGTCTGAGATACTTTGTTACAGCAGCCCAAACCAGCCCAAACCGCCTAACACACTCCTGATTTGTAAATTTCAGATGTCTAAGTCTTAATTTAATATGGTGGGAGTTAGTTCCTGTTACCAAGGAAGCTATAACTGAAACCTGGGAATGAGCAAAAACTATTCACACCTGCACTGCACATTTATCTTATACCTACTTTATGTCAAGTACTTTACAGTATTTATAAAAAGACACATGTCTTTTTGGACCAGATATATTGCAAATATGCCATCACTACCCGTTTGGCATATTGAAGTTGCAAGTATTTAAATAACCCTGCCAAATCTCTAAAGAGAATATTTTTAGGCAGCTGGGAACCTAGAAAAATGAACAACAGTTAGAGGCCTAGCAGGATCACAAATAAATGGATATCTAAATTGAAGAAGAACGAGGGATCCATGGGAACCAGTCAGAGATCTAAAGCTAGAAAAGTGAAAGATCAAACCATTCTTCTCCAAAAGGAGAGAGAAAAAATAGCAGAGTTGAGAAAGGTTAAATATAAACAGAAAAATCATTCTTTCCAAAGAAAGTTAAATATATGTGGGTCAAGAAGGCAAAGAATGATAGGGAAAAATACGTATGGCCTACATTATTTTCCCTGATGCCAATTAAATATCTAGAAGTAAATTTCTGGTTGGTGACTATCACATAAATAGGCAAAGGTATATTGAGAAAAGTGGGTTTCATATGTATGTGTTAGTTCAGGGAGTATACCAGATCCACCCAAAGTCCTTTTTTTTTTTTTTTTTTTTTTTTTTTTTTTGAGAAAAAAGTCTTCCCACCCCTTCCCTAATAGAGGAAGGAGAAAGATCAGAAGGGGATGGGGTTTTAATGGTGAAAAGTGTCTGATTCTGATTGACTCTCTAGGGTTTAGATCCACATGCTTAGTTGGCGATGTACTGATTCTGAGAAAAGGTCAGAGCCCATGTTTGAGAGAAAAACTCACCTCTGGAAGGCTCACCCCGTCCCTTGGTGGGAGAAGCTACCTAGCTGGAGAGGGTTCCATATACATACCAGGTTTATTTAGAAGGACTGCCTGCCTGCAGTCAAAGGAACCCTGAGAATGAGGAAGAGCACAGGAATGAGATTAGGCCAAGATTTTGACAGAGAAAAAGAAGACATGTTTCCAAGTTGGGAGACACAATCACAAAGATCTCCATATTTCCCAGAAGGGAATTCCCTAATCCCCTGCATTGATAACTTTTCTTTTCACTGGAGAAGGACCTTATAACATCAGATAAAGCTGAGAATGAAGAGACCAGAGGGGGCTTTCTCTGCTTGAGAGAAAAGGGCAGGAGAGAGAAGGAAGGAGGAGAGTTGTCTGTAAGTTAGGGTCCAGGCCAGAGGGCTGAGAAGGGAGAAGGCCCACTGTGGGTGTTGGCTGTTGTTTCTCAAGTCCAAAGTTTCCCCTAGAAGGCGCTGAGCTCTGGGCGTCTGGGAGGGAGGGTAAGGTGGTGAGTGACACCTCCAGGGTTATCCATCTGTTTTCAACATGGAGGAGCATGGGAGGAGATGGGGGAGAGGGGGAAGAGCTAGAATGGCAGCTGTTTACAACCCCCTTCTAGGCATTTCAGCCCTACAGGTGACTCCTTTTTGCCACGTCAGCTCTAAAATACGAGGGGTGGGAAGGAGAAAAGCATGCGATTCCAGATTTCTGCTGAGAGATTCAAAGAGGGAGGACGCATTGTGGCCTCTCAGGCATTGGAGGGGAGGCCTGAGGCGTTTGGGATCCCTGCCTCCCTGGCTATCTAGGGCCAAGGGGGGCCTGGTTACATGTTCAGCCACCTTCTTCACCATGCACCCCAGTCATCACAGAAAAATGACCCAATTCCCCTTAGCCTCCTGCCTTCGTGGTGGGCGCACAGAGACCAAGTGTTCACAGTCGTCCATTTCTCACCCTCTGCAATGGGTTGACCAAACTTAAGTCAGGCTTTTCTCCTTCCGCGGCCCCTACACTTGAGCTTTCAAATCTAAGCAAGCGCTAAAATGGGGGACATTCAACCTGGTCCGCTTATTCTCACATCCTGGGACCACAGAGACGTTTCTTGTCCAGCCACGGGGGGGGGGGCCCCGGGAGGGGGGTTACCCCCCCATCCGCCCCACGTTCTTTTACTGCTCACTCCCCTTTCTGTATACACGTATAAAAGCCGATTTCGGTTTGGTTTTGAGACGCCTGCAGATTTCTGAGTAGAGCGTTTTCCCTGTTGGCAACGGTCTTTCTTTCTTATGAAAGCATGAAAGTCTCTCCCTGGCTTATCGAAGTCCGATTTGTTTCTATTTGACGTCCGAGTGTAGCCAAGAGTGGTCCTGGGTGAGTTTCAGCCGCGTCCATGGGGAATGAAATCCCTGGAACTGGGGGCGTTTGCCTATCCCCCGGGAAAGCAAAGCGCACCGAAATGCACAGGTATCCCTTGAACTTCAACTTTCTAAAGGGGACTGAATCTGAATCTCCAAGGGAGGAGGTCCGAGCCTTGCGCTCTCGGGGCCTGGGCTCACAAAGGAATTGCGGGTGGAAACCCACTCCCAGGGGCGAGGGGGTGCGCTTGGGAATGGTTTGGGGGAGGGGACAGAGGGGAACCGGGTGAGATGCATGAGGGCGGAAGGGGGAGGCGCGCGTGGAGTTACCAGAAGCTGCGCTTCCGCGGACCAGCCAGGGGCGGGGGAGGGACGGAGGGGGGATCCCGTTGTCCGGGCGCCCCGAGGTCGTGGGGGCGGCGGCGGCCAGAGCTAGCAGCCGCAGCAGCAGCCACAGCCTCGGCGACAGCCACCGCGAGCGGGACGGAGTTAGGACCGCTCGGAGCGCCCAGGTCTCGAGGTAGCGTGGAGGTTTGCAATCCTCCCACTTGCTGGCAGTTGCAGAAGAGGAGCTGCCTTTTAAGGGGCGCGCCCGTGCCACCCCCTC